AGTTTCACACGTCTTTTGTGGTTTCCTAAACTTCAATTTTAAAATGGAAGTTAAAAAGACTAATTCCTCCGTCGCCTAGCCAAGCTGACCTGCTTAGTCATTGGCCAAGCATCAGAAAAACCACCAAAACTATGACAAATCACTGAGATGTAGCCTTCTGTGACCCACTGTACAAATTCGCTCTGGAGCGGAGAGAAGCATGACTGTGTATTGTTATTTTGTTATTAGGAGGCTGCTGATGACTTGACGCGCGTACAAACTGAAAAGAACGCCACTATCCAGACGTTAAAACAATTACTGAACAGCAAAGAGCACGAAGTTCAGGTACAGCTCGCCTAGAACAGTAGCCTCGTCTAGGCGTTCATTTAGTTGGGGGACAGCGGCGAGCGAAACAAAGAGAAGGGGGGGCTTGCGCTGTTTTTCGTGTTGCGTCCTAACTGATTGAACGCCTGGAAGAGACCACTAGAACGGCCCCTCTTTTGCCTTTATCCAATTATGTTATGTAAGGGAAGAGAAGGGCTTTTAAGAAAGCTCAAGGTAGGTAATTGTAAGAAATAGATGTGATTGGATGAAAACTGCAAACGAAAATCCAAGCATACCCGTCGTGTTTTTCACTCTCGTTTCATTTCAGGCTCTGGAAAACAGCAAAGCTTGGGCATCCCAAGAACACGACAAATTAGTGAACAAACTAAAGATGGCGATACAAGAGAAGGACAAGACCATTGGAGTAAGTAATCAACATCAAACCACCTGACTTAGTATTACTGTGCCCAATTTTCTGTATTTTGTTATACTTATGGCAATGTCTCTCAATTATTCAAAGAAGTTTTGCATTTTTTCTGCGAAGGGATTAGTAGAAAGCGGACGAGAAAAGGACAAGATGTTGAAAGCGCTTCAGGTATGTTTGTTAATAAAGATCAGCTCATGCTCTCGCTTTTCTTTTAAACTAAACCACTTCAAAATGACACCACCCATTATACTACCAGATGTTTGCTGTGATAATGCTGAGCTGTGAATTGTGTTGAGGATTCTATCTTCTAAAGCAGGCTTTTAGGTCTGCATTCCGTAACATCAGTTATCGTCATTTTATCCATTTGTTTAGGAGTCCAGTAAAAGCCCAACAAAAGCGCCCAGCCCTGCTGAAGTGGTAAGATACTAGTTTTGTAACATAAGCGGTTTGTGTGTTGTGTTATGAATGATTGCCCATACAAAAACGCGGCTGTCTTATGGTGCCTATTTTTTTCTTTCTAAGGCGGATCTTAAGCGAAATATCAGTATACTACAAGCTGAAGTACAAAAGAAAGATGGTACGTTATTATTTCACTCTTCCGTCACCGTGGATGTTTTTGTCCGTAGTTTATGTATTGCTTTGTATCGCATTCCCCACTTTAGAAGCATAGAGGAAATCTGGGCCGAGTCTAATCTCGCAGTCGTTTGTGGGACCAAATCCAGGAACAGTATCGTTTCTGAAATGGCGATCTGAGGAAGAAGGAGGAATTTTAAATTTGTTACTCCGAGCTCATTCTCGCCAAAAGTGAACGTCAGTGCCGTGCCTAGGAATCAGGCTTTGTTGGTGAAAATGACGTTTCAAGGAGAAGGCGCGATCATTTTTCATTCATACTTTTAGAACCAGTGTGCAAACAACATTTCATTTCATTTCATTTCGGGAAAAATTCCCGTAATGGCGCTCTTACAAGATAAGAACCTGTGTTTTAAGGTAATAAGAATTGATTCTAGTCTATTTATGTCATTTTCGTCTGTTGTTTTTGTTTGTTTTTCTTAGAGTCTTTAAAGAAGCTCGAGTCAGATTACAGAAACAACTTGAGGAAGTTACAAGGCGACGACCGAGAGGTAAACGTTTATTGGATAACAAGGTGTAAAGCAGTCTCCCAGCCAATCACAGCTGCAGAAAATATGGCAATAAACTAATCAAATCTGTAAGAGAAAAGAAGGGAAAGAAATCAGTGTCAAGCGCGGGAAACTCGCTCGAATCAATTCATTAGCGGGATTTGTCTCAAGGGTTTTTTTCCGTTGTTTTCTAAATGAGGTTGTGTCTGGTTCTTTTTTAGAACAAGCTGAAAATTGAGAATCTACAGCACGAAATACAGACAAGAGATGCATTTATGAAACAAGCAAAGTGAGTGTAATACTCAAATTGTTGTGGTCAATACGATTGTTTTCCTCTACTCAGTGCTATATTATTGCCGGGGATCGTGCTTGTTTGGTTGTAATGACATTGTCTTTTGTTATAGGGCTACAATCGAGAATCTTCGTTCAAGACTGCAGAGCATTCCTAATTTAGAGGCAAGAATCTTGATAAGACTCGTTTTAAATAAAAAGAATCAATAAATCAATAACTATTTTTTATGTGTCAACCATTTAGATAGCTGCAAGGCTTACCTACC